GGGCAGCAGGGCGGCGTCTGGCCGGGCGAGGTGGCTGGGGGGCAGAGCGGTCAGCCCAGGGCTGGCACTGCCCATCCCTCTGCTCAGCGCCGGCTCCAAACCTGCCGGGAGAGGAGGAGAGGAGAAGAGGAGAGGAGAGGAGAAGAGGAGAGGCTCGCCCCAGCACCGATTCCTGCCTTCCCGCCCAGCAGCCAGGCACAAAGGGAGGAACTAAGCCTGTTAGAGGGGGAAAAAACCTCCAAAGAGACCCACGGCGCCCCGCGAGCCCCCGGATAAATGCAGGCTCGGGGTCAGCCATGGGGCTGGGGGGCTGTCCTGATTTTAGGAGGACCAGCCGCAGCAGCCAGCAGGAAGAAGGAGCCCAAGGGGCAAGCAGGTCCCAACCACCACGGCTTTTTAGGGTCTTCCCCTGAGTTGCACCCCAGGTTGGCAGCAGTTCAGTCCCAGCGGGTGCTGAATGCCCTTGCAGGAGGCAGTGGGGCACGCTGGGGGATGCCTGTGGGCATCAAAGGATGCCTAAACCGCTCAGGCATGTTTCTGTTCATGGAAAAAAATCACCTGCTGCTTTCAGCTGAGGATGCCCCAGCACAACAGCGCCCAAACCTGGCTCCCCCAAGCCGGGGACCAGGCCCAGCACTGCAGCACGCGGTTCTGGGCCACTCTGCCAACCCCCCGGACAAGAACTTTGCTTTTACTTTCTTGCAAGGAAAACTACCCAAAACCCTGTCCCCATCTGTCTCTGGTATGCGGGGAGTCTTGGAGGCCGTGGAGAAGAGGATGAGCCTGCTGAATTTCCATGGCAACACCAGGGAACGGTGGAGAAACCTCCCCAAGAGCATCCTGAGGCTTTGGGATGAGAAAGCCCCTGCCAGGGGAGAGGCTGGCAATGGGCACAGCCAGGGCACTGCCGAGCTCCTTGCCTGCCTCCGGCAATGCTTTTTACAGAAGAAAAAAAAAATCCATCCCAAATTGGTGATTTAAAAGCAGAAAAAGTACCAGCTTTTGCAAAGGGATTCTGCACTAAAAAAGGAACAGGCAAAGCCTCAACCAACCCCAAACTCCACTAAAGAAACCAGGCAGCGCCCGAAGGGGAATGGGGGACAGTGCCCAGGGAAGGGGGATGCTCTGTTTGCTCTAAATCCAAGCTGGGGGGAAAAAAGGGTTTAAAAGACTAAAGAGGAAAAGACACCATCGGGTTCCTCAGTGCAGAACACATCCCTTGAGCGTGAGAGCCAGGCAGCCGGCTTAGGAGGGACACGAGTGAGCGTCCCCTCAGCTCTGCCGCGCCACACGCTGCTCAGCTCCACGCTGCTGGGCCCGGCTCTGCTCCCCGCGGCGTGGCAAGTCACCAAATGTCATTCACAGCCGTGTGCCACGGCCCCGTTAACACAGTGGTACCGACGGGGAGCACTTCCCATGTCCCACCCCCAGGGATACGAGTTAATGCAGTCGCTGAGGATTTTAATGCCCCCAGAAATATGGTTTTTGAAGCTCTGCGCAGCGTTTCACCGTTGGAAAAGCCCAAAAAGCATGGAAAAATGGACGGCGGAACCATGGCCACTTAAACAGCGCCCACAGCCTGACCCACGGGGACCCATGGCGGGGTTGGGGGTTTGGGAGGTGGAACTCAGGTCCCCGAGGGGTTTTGGTGGCACTGCAGTGAGGAGGAGGAGGGAGAAGGGGTGCCCGTGCCACTGAGCTGCCCCCACCAGCCAAACAGTTTCCCTGAGAGATGGCACCAGCTTCCAAACCTCTCCTTGATTTGCTCTGGATTAAAAGAAGAGCTTTAGGAGATCAGCCTTAAATCCAGCCTCACGCTGCTCCCGGCACAAAAGGGAAGCGGTAACAGCTTGTGCGGCTCCAGCCCACGGCACAGTGCTGGCCGTGGGGGCTTTCTGAGGAGGGGTCTCGTCCCCAAGGCCTCTGAGTTGTTCTTGGGGTTGTGGTGCATCCTCCACCCATCCCACCTCCAGCGGGCTTTGCTCCCGCAGCCGTAAGGCGGACAGGGGGGAGCAGGGCTGTGGAGCCGTCCCTGGGCATGCAGCGGGATGGACGGCCCCCTCCTCATCCTCATCCCGTCCCCCTCCTCCTGCCTGGGACCAGAGGACCCGATCCCTTGGGCGAGTGGCCCCAAAAGCCTGAGCAATCACCCGCCAAACGGTGCTGTAGTCTCAGGGCGGGGGCCTTTGTTTGACTTTCTCCTGCTCTGGCACACAGGTGGCCGGGATGGGTGGGGACCTGTTTGCTCTAAGAAGCCGCTTTGGGCAGCCGTTTCCCTCTCCTCTCCCTTTTTGCAATTCCCTGGAAAAGGAGAGCTGGAGGGCCAGCCCAAGGTGCACTGAGATGCTCACTGACCCGCATGGCAGCCCAAAAACCTTCACGTTCCCTGCCCGAGATAAATGAGGCTGCACTGGTAATTGCATCAGCCCTGGCAAACAGTCCCTGGCTTGTGCACGCTGCCGGCAGCAAGCCCAGCCCCGGTCCCACGGGCTCCACACCAGAGCTCAAAGCCACACCATCGCAGCCTCCCGCTCATCCCGCCACTCCGGGCAAGAGGGGAAGTGACCAGCGAATTGGCTCTTGCAAGAATTTAAACAGTTGCCACCAAGTTATAAAAGCCCACCAGGCCCCTGCGGTTTTACCTCCGTGGGCGCACAGGGGCCAAGATGTGGTGCTGGGGGCTCAGCAGCCCATGGGGAAGCTCTGGGTGAGCGGTGCCATCCCTGGGCTGCCATCGAGTCCCTGAGTATTTCTCCGTGCCCACAACAAAGGCTGGGGCACAGCTGGGTGATACCTGCCATCCCGGAGCCCCAAAAGGATGAGTGACACTGCATCACTCCCCGGTGATACCCACGGTCACGGAGGTGTCCCTGCTCCCAGCCCTTGCTGGCACTGCGGGGATGTGCAGCACTGGGCTGAGCTGCCGGCACAGGGCTCGTTCCCCGCGGCAGCACGGAGCAGGGCGAGGAGGGAAAGGGCACCGTGACAGCCCGGCCCTTCACGGCTCCAACAACAGCTGAGAAAATGAACCCGCACGTTCCCTTTGAGCAAAAAGCCCAGCGCAGTGGGGCTGGGACAGGGCTCCCTGAGCTCCTTGAAGCCTGAGGCCGGCGGCAAGCCCAGGGGTTTGGGTGGTGCTGGGTCACAGCTCAGCTCCGCAGGGTTGCAGGGACTCAGCCCCATCCGGAGCGTGGGGAAGCAGCGGGCAGGGGCGAGGTTGGGGACAAGGACCTCCCGTGTCACCCCCAGCTCCCCTGGCAAACGCAACCACCATCGCTCAGGGTGGCAACGCGGGTGCTGGTGATGGTGGAGAGCTGAGATCAGCCCTTGGGAGCAAGAAAAGATAAATAAGAAATCCACCCAGCCACCACCCTCAAACAATGGGTCCGTTAATTAAAATTAAATCTGCGGTTAAACAGGTTGTGCCGGACCACGGCTCGGGAAGCCCCGTGGGACCGGCGGAGCTTGGCTCGCTGCGGGAGGAGGTGCTGCCCGCGGCACCCGGGATGCCTCCCAAATCCCTGGGTGCTTCTGGAAGCTCTTCCCAGGCAGCCAGTCCCGGGGCTTGCCAGGGCAGCGGGCCAGCTCCAGGCTCCGGGGTCACCTCCAGCACCCAGGCTGAGGATGGGGTCAGTGACAGGGATGGGGACGTGCTGTGCTGTCCTGGGGGGGAGCCGGAGATGTGCAGGATCCAGAGCTGTCCCAGAGTGCCCTGAGCAGCCCCACGGACAGTGGGGTTTGTCTTTAACCGATCCTTCCATCTTCACCTGCCCCACGTGCCTCAGCGCAGCAAGCCGGGACCCCGGGGGTGGAGAGGATGGGGACCCCACGGACCCAGCAATCCTCCCTTTGCTCGGAAACCTATCTGGGGTGGCGATCTGGGTGGGTTTTCCCTGTTTTCTGGTCTGACTCTTGCCCCAGCCACCTCCCTGGGCTCAGGTCTCCACCTCGGAGGGGCCAGCCCACGCTGTGATGCCTGGAGAGGCGACTGAGGCTCTGCCAGAGGGCTGCTGGCCATGAGGAGACACGAGCCATTTTATAGGGGCCCAGATTAGGCAGGAAAAGGGACCTGGAGTCCCTGCACGAGCCGGGGCTGCAGCAGACACCCGGGTGGCTCAGAGGCTCTGACAATTCGGGGTCCTGCTGGAACATCCCACCCACCCTGCCAGCCTCAGCGTGCCTCACCACACACCCCCTTCATCTCTGGGTAGAGGGAGGAGGAACTGGTCAAAATCTCCTCACAGCCAGGGCAGGGGCTGGGGACAGCCCTCGGGGGATGTGACAATCCAGGGGCTCTGGCCCTGGTACCTGCGTGGTGACAGGGTTGGGGCCAGGGCGAGCCCAGGGCTCATGTTGAATGTGTGCCCAGGTGGGATGCAGCCCATCCCAGGGGTCCTGGACCCCCAGCTCCCCCCACAGCCTTCTCCAACACCACCGAGGTCCCCCCAGCTCCTCCTGCTGTTACCTGCATGGGTGCTGGCAGAGAGACCAAGAGTCCCCACGGGTCCCCACGCCCTGGGTCAGGCTGCCCTCTCCACCGGCGCAGGGAGGCAAACAGCAGCAAGGAGGGGGGACGGGCACAACCTGCCAGTGGCCTGAGCAAAGCCCCAGTGCTCGGTGTCCCCCAGGTGAGCAGCAGAGCTTGGTGTTCTCCATGCAGGGCCAGGGAGTCCCTATTTATAGCAGCACCTTCCTCCCCCGTGAGCTCCCTGCCCATGAGAAAGCCCGTATTGTGGGGGATTTGGCAGCCGAGCGGCGTTTGTGTTTCACTAACCAAGCAGAACCGTAAAAATCAAACCTAGCGCCAATGTGCCTTTAGCCCTGACAAAAAAAAATACCCTGCAGAAAAGCAGAGCAGTGCTGAGATGGTGCAGGTCTGGTAAAGGGGTTCAAAGTGCTTTATAGAGACACCTCAATGGCTGCCCAGGACCTGGGATGCTCTATGAAGGGTCCTGACTGACTTATCAGTCACAGAGTGCTCCAAAACACACCGTCCCCTGCCTCCTGTGGGGCACAGGGGCCTGTGGGACCCTCAGTGTCCCTGCTGGAACTGGGTGGGTTTGGGAGGAGCTGGC